GGGAGGCAGGCAGCGCAGAAGCCGGCGGTGGGTCTGTCGGAAGGGTGTCGGTGGCATATTGTACGGCGACGGCGGGTGCTTAGCTTGTGGGTCATGGTTCAGCGGCACAGAGATAGTGAGCCACGGGGTCAGTCAGTCACTTCAGTCGCAGGGAGGCAGTCCCTGTTTTGTGATCAAACCCCTTCCTAAACCCTTTTCCATTCTCTTAATTATCACCTGCTTTATTTATATTGTTATTTCGATCCTTTTTATTATCGCATCGTTTTTTTTTAATTTTTTGGTTTAAATATATATATATATAATATATATATATATATATATATAATATGTCGTCCTTTAGTACTATTTTCCTGAAATAAAAATAATAAATAGGATAAAATTAGTATTAAAATATTCACATCATCAGGGTATACGAGGGAGATGTGAAACAAACAAATAAATCCCCACAAGATATATGGCTATGGGTCTCTGACCTCTGTGTTCATAAAAAGAAAAAAAATATTAAATATTAAATAGCACAAAACAAAGAGTTGTAAAATTATTTTTACCGTCGGTGCCAAAAAAGAAAAAAAAAAGGTTATTTGTTTTGGCTGCTTCTGTGTCAACTCCTTGGATTCTCTTCTATTGAGTTTTTATAAGGTCAAAGTCAAACATTTCTCATTTAATGACATCACATATTCAATAAAAAAACAAAACATGTACATATTCAATCAAAACAGATTTTAAAATATATATTTTTTATAACGGTGGTAACCATCATAGGTTCTTCGGCCCAGACATCGCATCGCTCCACAGTCTTCAGACCGAACAATCGATATCGCAAACAGTAAACTCTCGATCCTATGCAACAACTGACAAATCACGCAGAGAAAATAAACCAGCTGAAGTTTACCGACTTAAAAGGAGTTTTTATGTCCGAATTTCGAATCCACAACATCAATACGAGAGAGTTTGTCGTTAACCACAGAGTCAGATTTTAAAATATTGACAAAGAGAGTATAATTTTATTTTATGAAGACGTTTTTTCAGACTAATTTGTTGTATCTGGTTATTTTAAAAAGGCTAATCTTTTTTAACATTTTTTTATATCATTTTATAATTTTGGAATGCCATCACATCCATATATAAATCACATGTACCCAAGAGGGTGGGTTCGGATTAATCATGGGGGATTAATATTCGGATTAATCATGGGGGATTATCTAAGTAAAGATATCACATAATCTTAAGTCAGTCCTCATGGACAGACAGCACGAGTGACATAGAGATTCCAAGTCATTACAGGTTCCCAAGAGGGTGGGTTCTTCAAAAAACACAGCAGGTCCCCCATCACAAACATATTATATAGATAATATTCAATTATATATATATATATATATATATATGTAAGTGTATGTGTGTGTGATTGTTATAATATTTTGATGAGGTGGGAATATTCCACGTGTGAGTCCATCTCTCTGTCAAATCCATACTCTATAACAAGAGTTTAAAACAAGATGATGAAGTACAAAACATTTGAAGATTATTTTATGTTCGGGCTGTGTCACATTTATATTCAAAATTAATATGATCTTTTACTAGTTAAAACGCTTTTGATAGTTTATAAGAGAAAATAAATAAATAAGTGGAATGTGATCATATCATAACTAGTCAAGTGATTCTATAAAATAAGAAAAAATATTGTTAAAACTCATAAAACCATTCGAAATTATCAATCAAATCTAGAAATTAATAATAAATATTGCATATTCATCGGCTAAAATCTATTAAAATAAAATATTTAAATATTTTTTAAAAAAAAATCATAGATTTGTATATATAGGGTGGGTTTTGTTTGTTTATTTGATAATTTTGGTGGTTTTAAAATTATTTTAAAAATGATACAGGGAGTCGTATCCAATATATATAAACAAGATTAATTTGCTTAGATTCTTAAAGTATATTTGTATAAAAATTGAAAATATTCAATGCAAGATTAATTTATGAAGATATTATAGTTTCTTTTCAAACAAATGATTTTCATTTGAATCTCTCTTTCCTCCATATGGGCCCTAGGCCTATAATAAAAGCCCATTTAATAAGCATATATTTTCGCCATCCAACCGACATACGGTGAACTGAGTATTTATTCACGGACAGCACGTAGTTCTCAATCATAGTTGTAAAACGTCACGGTGTTCCTAAGACGAAAAAACCCCCACCGGAGAAACCCCTTTACTCTTTCTCCCGGATCTTTCCCCTTCACTGGGAAACTGTACGGAACACGACTGTGAGGGAGCTAAATGCAACGAAGAGCATGATGGATAGAGTCGAAGCGGCCAACGAGCTCGCTTTCCGGGTCGGGTTCTCCGGCCATGGCGGTCACCTCCGTGTCGAGCCTCTTTACTCGGTGGAGCGCGGCGACGCCGTTAATACGCTTCCCGATTTTGTCTCCGTGAGTTTCCTCGATCCCTAGGGTTCGACAATTTCTCGATTTACAATTTCAAAATCACTGGGTCATAGTTTTAGGTTGGGTTCCGCGTAGTTGTTTTCGCTTAGGCACTGATTTCTGCTGCAACTTGTTGAACTCGATTTGTTGTCTTATTTATTCTTTTTCCTGTACTTTTGTTCTTGCTTGTGCTGCTTCCTTTGTCAACATTGAACTAATATTAATGGAATTGAGAATGAATATCGAGCCTTTTGGTTGGGGAAAATCTAGTGGGGCATCGGGTTTGTGTAAATTAAGTGATCCGGATTAGCCAATTTCAGGAAAATTTCAATTGGTGTAAGGTATTCATCATTCAGAAGCACAGGGCAAATGGTAGCTCTCAGTAAGCTGCATGGCAAAATACATTTCTTTTCCCATCGTGTATTCCTGTGGGCATGATCTGCTAAAATGTCACATTTTTATTTTCGACTGAATGTATCTTGAAATGTTCATTCATATCCTCGTTTGTAGTTGGAAATGCTCAATAGATGTGTACGTTTTGCTGTTTTCAGCCTCCTGCGTTTGTTAAGGAAACAAAAGAATCAATAAAGAACCATATTGAGGAGAAGTATCTACATCCGAGATTGGACACTGATCAATTTTCTGCTGAAAAGGCCGGGAGACAGTGGGACTTTGATTGGTTTGCAAGGGTTAAAATGCCTCTGGAACCCTCTTTACCCAGGTCCGTTGTGGTTCCAGTTTGGGAGTTGCCATTCAGACGTCAAGAAAAGGACTCTGAGAAAGGAGTCTGGGAAGTAAAGTCAGTGGAGGTAACTCGGGTTTCTCACACACCATGATACATCTTAAATTAAATATTTCATATGGACTGAAATATTAACTGAGACTTGGGATTTTTCTATATGTGCCTGGATAGATCTTAGATTTCTGTTTCTGATTTGAGTAGAAAGACTGGACTTATCATATTGTTTTAGGTTGATGTAACGGAACAAATGTATGGAGATCAAGATTCTGGAATTTTACCGCGGATGGTTGGGCCACCAAAGGATTTTCTGAGAGGAAGCCTCAATATTCGTCCTTTTCGTCCAGGTGGCTTGGAGGATTCTCAATCTTCGGAGAGAGTGGTTCCAGATGGTGTGTCTGATGGCTCATGGGTTCAGGAAGTGCTTAAAGGGGGACCTGCTCAGACCGTTCCCCCTAGCTTTAAGCGGGGTTTAGATCTAGGAGATCTGACGGTATCTTATCCTATGATATCATCGACTCAAATCAGCCAACTTCCTTTAGATTTCTAATTGATCAATTTTTATTGAATTCTTCCTGTTTTCCTTTTGTACTTCTGAAGCCTTATCCCCAGACTTGGAATGTTTACAAGGATCAGAATTTGCTTGACAGTGTGTCGGACAGTAATTCGGTCTGTAGATCCGTGCCATTCTCTTGTGTGAGATTTCAGCTACTATTTTTACAGTTGTCTCTGAGAATAAGAATCTGCTGCTGTCTTCTCTCTGGTGATGCTTTCAGGGCGAGTTGTCCATTCAGTTTGATGATCTATTTAATAAGGCTTGGGAGGAAGATACCTTTTCCGAACTCGAGAGAGATGGTGTGTGAAATCAGCTCTCTTTTGATTCTTTAATCACCATATACGTTTATTGTTGCTCTAAGGTTTTAATTAAGACCGTTCAGCAG